TCCCCTGACCAGAGGAGCGGTGGCCGAGGAGCAGCATGCTCCTGCTGAGTGCTTAATGCTGAATGAGTTCCCACAGGTTGGGAGATCGGCCTCCACCCTGTTTCCAAGGGCTGAGTTATGTCTCCTGCACTCATGAGTCAGCAGCAGCCAAGGGGAGAGCAGAGGTGACTTCAATGCAGCACTCTCGGCTTCTGGCTGGACCACAGAGATAGCACAAGTTGGGGTATTCCCCCCCTTTTTTTTGCAAGCTTTTTATTTTTCCAGTTCTATATGGAACCAAGACACACAAAAAGGATGAGTAATAGCAGAAGAAGAGGAACGTTATTCGAACCTCCTGCATTGCTTAGCTTGCATCTCAGAGCTGATAAGAGGCCTGGGAGAACTCAGCTACCAGTGGCGAGCCACGTGTCAGGAAGGGCTGCATCTCACTGCCTACATGGGAAGTGGTGCAGGACTCCCAGAAAAGCATCCTTTTACCCAGCGCTTTTCTTTTACACTCAGAATTTAGGAACACAAAATGGAAAGGACCACTTGATCACCACCTGCTAGTCTAATGAGCCCAGTTCACAACCCAGATTTATACAGATAAGATGCAAAAGCTTTACACATGAAAGCTTTAGCCCATGAAAACAAGACATCTGGCATCTAAGCCTCCTGTTCTTTATCTCCACGCATCTGCCCCACCGATGGCCATGAGCTTCTCCCTGGTAGGGAGCCAAGGAGGCAGCCCCATGGCTGGGAAACTGCTGGAGGAGGAAGGGGAGGCAGGTCCTTTCCCTGGTCAGGCAGGAGTCACATCCATCCCCGTATTCCCAGGCAGCTCCTGCTCATGCCTGGGACCTCACACTCGGAGCCAACAAGGCAGAGCCCAGCTTCAAATGGCACTTTCAGGCAAGGGAGGAAGGTGACTGGTGGGTGGTGGAGGGAGGGTGAAGGGAGGTGAAGGTGAGGGTGGAAAGTCTTCTCTGTAAGCACCTACATGTATGTTGTGATTTCTGAGACCTGAGATTCACTTTGGTTTCTGGACCATACCAAGACCCACCTTCCTCAAAAACCTTCTCTTCTTCCTCATCCTCTTAACCTTTTCCTCCTTGCTCTCCTTCCCCCATCCCCCCCAACCCATCCCCTGGTCCTCGCAGGGGGCTCCGGCCGGATTGGGCACTCACACGTGTCTGGCTTGTGGCAGTTGTGACCTTGTCGGAAATATTGGGGATTCTCGATGACGGGAATGCGGGTCATGCCGATCACCACCGTGTCCGGGCCAGCGTCCAGGGATGAGGGCGTCGTGATGCCGTGGTTGATGTGGTGGAGGGGACTGGCTGAATCTTCCTCTCCGCTGATCACTGCCACAGGACCTGCAAACACCACACACATCCATCAGGCACAACAGAGGAAAGACCAGACCTGCTGATCGTGCGGGTACGGATCACTGCAGGTCAGCAGTGGACCACCACCAGCTCCTGGACAGGATGCCTGTCCTAGCACTTCTGGCAGTTGGCCCATTGCCAGGCAGCTCACAGGGCAAGGAAGACACCTCAGGTTTTCTTTCCTGGTTTTGGGGTACCAGGCTGACAATCCTGCAAGGGTTAAAGTAGCTATGGGTGACACCACAGCAGAGGTGAGTCCTGCACAAAGTCCTCTCCTAGGGCTGTCACAAGATAGATCAGTTGCTGTGGTGCCTGTATACCCAGGCATCACAAGCTTGGCAGAATATATAAAGGAGCTTAGACTGGAGAAACATCACCCCCAGAGAAGTTCTATTGCACCCCAAACCTGTATTCACACCATTTGTCTTCCCAATATGTCACCCATCTTGTCTCCTCTCCTCTAGTTTCACCTAGGCACACACAGAGAGTCCTTTGGTTGGGCTGACATCTGCAGGGACCCACAACGCACTGGACCAGACCCCACTCAGCTCATCCCTCCTTCCTTGTCTCCCATCTGTTGTCATCTCAAGTACTTCTTAACTCCCAATTCCCCATCTGCTGCTTGTTCACAGGGCCTGCTATGGATCCTCACCAGGCTGGAAGGGACCCGGTGGAGAGCTCAAGGTGGTCCCTCCCCACTGACAACCATGCAAAGCACTGAAGTTGCTGCTTCGTGAGCATGGAGCTTGCAGCACCCATCTCCTTGGTCAATGGACACAAGACACCTTCCTACTGCCCAAGCACCTCAGTACCCACCAGCAGCCCAGCCAAACGCTGCCCTCCTGGGCTGGTCCATGTACCTCCCCCCCCCAAGTCCCACAGCACCCACTTATGCATCCTTGTCTACCTCCGCAGAGCGGGTTCCCAAAACACCAGTGTGCCCAAATGCACCCACATTTATCTCCTTCCCGCCCGGCACCCGTGCCCCAGCCCCGTCAGCCTCCTCCCCCAGCCATGACTCCTTACACCCATGTGCCTGCACCCAAGACCATCACTGCTATAATCTTGTCCTAACCAATGGCAGGCTTGTTCCCGTAGGTAAAATGAAGTGATGAAGGGAAGAACATCCATACCTAAGAGCCAAGGCCTGCTGCCCACACAGAGCTATTTCACAATATTCAGCAGTACCCCAATTTTGACATATGCTTTGTTTTATTTTTAGACCTTCTAACTTCAGCGTTTGCTATCAGCTGCCAAGGCTGGAAAAATCAGGGGACATCAGGCCTTAATACATTATCCCCCCACTTCCATCTATTCTCATCCGTTCTGGGGTCCAACCTGCAAACTAGCATCACAAACACCTCTATCATGAGATGAAACCTTCTAATCCGTGCTGCAGCCATTCATGCTGCATAAACACAGGATCCAGAGGAGCTGGGCAATGTGGGAACCACACTGCCACCTTCCATGAGGATCTCCCTTATCCATTCACATGGGAAGAAAAACCACACTCCACTAGAGATGCTCCTTTTCTCCCTTCTGAATGCTACCAGGGGCTACCAGAAGCTCAAGAAAAATGAGCAGGGATTCTGCATTAAGGCTTCAACCCTATTCAGGGAAGCCTATCTTTTACTTACATTGTATAGAAAATGCCTCTCTCCCATCAGTAATCCACTTCTAATTGCACAATTACTTTATTATGTAGCACTAGCAACAAAGAGGGGAATCTTGAAGCCATTTTACTCTCTGGAACTTCTAAGAGGACAGGGCGAACACCGGCTCCGTGCAGTCATTCCGCCTGCATTAATCTAGTCGAAAGGCTGCTCATTTTTGGAGCTTCAAGTATTGTTTGTTCTTCCAAGTGGGATATAATAAAGTTATTGTGTAATTAGCAGAGTCCTGGCAGCCGTGACAGGTGTTTTAGTCACAAGGAAAAAAAGTCTCTCCCTTTATTGTGAATTCCTTCTGGCAGGTTCTTGCTTTTTTTTTCACATTACTCCCCGGGCCCGCGTGACTTCCAGCTTTTGAGACACAAAGGCAAAATTCAGCTCTTGCCGCAAGATGCCTCTGTTGGAACTACGCACGCTGTATTTCTCCAAACACAAAAAGCAAACAGGCAGTTTTGGTTTGAATGACTTTTGTTCTTTCACGTTGTCAAGTCTGCGTGTGCAAACCAGGAGGATTGGGTTTTGCACAGTGCGCATGTCCCTTTGGCCGTACCCTGCGCCGCTGGCCGACCCGGCTGCGGTGGGAAGGGAAGACCTCTGCATTTCAAGGTGCAGTTCACAAAATAAGTCATAAAAATATCAACTGGTATAGACTGGTATAAATAATTTAAGGAGACCATAAAGATCTCTGTTGCAGTGGAGTGGTGGGAGAGGCTATTGAGGGCTTATTGCTCTCCCTAGGCAGCCAACCTTGCTTCAAAGGAAGGTACCTAATCACACAGTGGGATGTGAAAGGCCTCTCTAGCGAACAACATGAAGGAAGTCTTCATTGTCCTCTCCTTTGAGAACAGGAATCGTACCTTTGTGACAAGGAGCAAAGAGGACATCTCCTACAGCATTAGCGCTGAAGACGATTGGTTTCATTACAAACCATGGGATGTACGCCAGGCTGGCACAGACGCTGCTGGGGACATAGTTCTTGGGGGCTCACAAAGCCCTACCAGCACATAACACTTGCTGTCCTTGCTTGCACAGCACCTCCTCATTTTTAAGGAATGTGATCATGGCAGCATCCCTCTGGCACAAGCAGGTTAGGACGTGGCTACATCTAAAAGAGTAGGGCATGATCAAGAAAGTCAAGTACTTGTGAAACTAAGCACAGCCAGCATCTATCACCCAACGTTCTGATGACAATTTTCTTGCCAACAAACAGGTCCAGAGTCTGACCTTTACACTCCACAGGTTTTTTCCTACAGCTCACCTCTTAGGAGGACTTTCTACATGTGTTATAGCTAGTTTCATGCCCCAAACCTGTCCAAGATCTATGGTGTAAAGAGGTAACTGTCTCAGCTGATCCACGACTGCACTCCCATTCCCCAGCAAACATTGGGTTCTGTGAATGGACTCAGCCTCCTAGTCATCCAGCTCAAGTCGATGCTTCTAAGCTTGGACATTTATAATATCTACTGACCCTCAAAAGCCACAGAGCCAAACTCTGATGCTCCATCACCATCTCAATCCCTTTCCACTTCTGCAAAATTTGGAAAACCCAAGAACTCCCAAGGCAGCTGCAGTCCTGACACCGCAGGGAGTACACCACATACAGTATATTCCACCCTTGCAATAATCCAGGGACAGTTTACTGCCTCTGACTGGATTTCCAGGTCTTGAAAAAAACAAAATAACTCACATTCGCAAGACTCCTAAGGAACACACCCGATGGATGCAATGCATTAGCATTCAAGCTTTCAGAAACATTTCTGATGATGCTTGGCACTGAGCTGGCACGGACTATAACATATCATTCAGCCCAATATCCTCAACAGGATATAATTGGATTGAAGACATAATTTAGAGTTGATGACTTTTCCAAGTTTCTCCTATTAACTTGGGCAGGGGAGAGGGGTAGAAATCCGCACAACATTAACTCCTACATTAACTCCTCCTTTATCTCCTTCGTTCACTGACTCTTACGGGTCCCTCCCAACTCCAGATATTCCGTGATTCCCATCTCTTCTGGCAGGTCACAGCTCAGATCCAGGTCCCTGGATCCAGATCCACATGGCCACTCTGTTGCCCCTCTGAGACTCAGATGAGCGCTGAACTTGCTGCACAAGCCTGAGACAAACTTCAAAAACATCATTGGTATCAAGCAGTCACCAATCACTTTTATAGGTTTGACTATTGCTCTGACACTCAAAATATGTACTGCCATTAGTAACTCCTGGAAATAAAGTAGCTACCTAGACTTCAACTTTTTTAATCTATCTTGGCAATAACATATATTTTTTGCTGCTAAGTAGGTAAAGAGGTTGAGTTTCTGATGTGTAATGCTGATGAATGGCTTTATTTGGAATAATTCTCACAGCTTCAGCAGTGCATTTTCCTAGTAAGTTTAAAGGAAAAAATGGAGTTTAAAAAAACCCCCACAGATTTTAAGGTTTAAGTTTACCTTCAGCTTGACAGAGGAATGGGCAGAAGGACATAAGAATGAAGCCAGTTTTGTACTGTAAAATTTAGAATAGTCAAGGGTAGCCTGGGCTAACACCTGACATATCATCCTGCAATTTTAATATGCTATATAAAATATTTTGGAGCTCCTCTGAAATTTAAAATCTAAACAGCGATACAGTAGCTGTTTCTGTGAATAACATAACTGTGCTATGGACCATCATAATGTGGATATTAACTATAAAAAGAGTTTATTTCTTAATACTTTAAGAAGTCTTTGTATGTTCTGAGCACCAAATGTGTCACATCTATACTCTGAAAGGCTTTCAACGACTCTCCTTCCATCCAAGCAGATGTCTCGCCAGCCAGCAGCACCCACACTGCCTGCAAGGACCGAGAGTTTAGCTGTTCTCCATGTTAACCCCATGCAGTTTTCCTGCTGGGGAAGCAGCAGCAGCAGCAATGGAGCCGCAGAGCTGCAGGGAAAGGCTGGGGAGACACCAGGGCTGCCCCAGGGCTACCCCGGGCGAAGAGGCGGTCAGCCCCTGCTCCAGCCCAGCAGCACAGCCACTGCCAGCCTGCCCCTCTGCGATGCCAGCGGGAGAGTCAGCCATGATGACCAGAAAATTAGGATCTGAATGAATCTCGTTGCCCAAAGAGCAGTGAGGCAGCTTGAAAACGTTGCTTTTGGAAACGTGTCAGGGAGCAATGCTGTTCTACCTTCCCTCCTACACCCCCTCTACAGCCAACTCTTTTTTCCCCAGGAAAGATGTCTCATTCAAACATCACCATTCCCAGCCTCATCTCTGCCTTCTTTTCTCCCCCAGCTTCCTGGCCAGGCTATGCTCCATCCATCCCAGCAATGCTACA